CTGTCACGCAACACTGCTTTTGCACCGTTGTGTGACGGAAAAAGTGGATCAAAATCGGGCTTTCTCTAAGGTACATATTGAAATAATGATTAGAATATAGAATTTCTTTCAAATCGCTTGTAAATGCCTTGAAGTTAAAACAAAACAAAAAAAATTAAAAAGATTCAGTGACTGTTTAGATCCTTCTTAGTGTTAAGATGTTTAACATGGAAATGATCACATACTTCAAGGGTTAACCTTACAAATGGGGCATGTAACCGTTTTACTGTGTTTCATGGAGAATTCCGTTGTCTGAAATGTCCCATGTAAAGAAGCGGGGGCTGCTTTTCAGGAGGTGAACTAACCTGAAAGATACATTGGATACCTTTAAGTTTCGCGCTATCGAGGTGATGGAAGTTTCAACTGAGACAGAGGTAGTTTTGTCCAGGAGCTCAGTAACGGTGAAAAAATCAAGGATAAGATCATTGTATTTCTCCTTTAGAGCAATTTCAATCGAATCTCGAAAGTAATTTCACTTTTAGTTCTCATTGGCTCTTGGGAACTTTCCTTTCTTCTGATTTGCTGTTTTAAATTCCTTGATTTGGTTTCTCAACACTCGATCTGAAAGTGCTCCGATTCAAAATTACTGGAATGCATCCAACATTTGTGAAAGGTCAGGTGCAGAACATCAAACATTAAGTTAGAAGCAAGTAATCCGTCGCTACTTTTCTATCCATTCACTTTCATCAACATGGCAAGAGGCTCATTATGTAATATCTAAGATGCACTGGCATCAAATCTTTCACAAACTTTATCCTCTTAGAAAACGAAAGAATCAAATGAACTGAACGTTTCCAGTTGAAACCCCAGCGCCCGTAGTCTTCACTTAACACTCAAGCAGTCTGCATCCGTATCAGAAATTTCTCCTTGCATCAGCCATAGGTCTGTATATAACTCACTCATTTAACCTCCATGGCAGCGACAGCTGACTGCAAACTGCCCATTGCAGTAATCATGTGATAACAGCGACATGATGTCGCAAAAACCTTATTAAGTGATTTTTTCCAAAATATCTCTTATTATTTTTAATAATTACTGTTTTTTTAAACTCTTCTAACATCAAGCGACTTCTCGTCCAGTTCCTCGTTTCCGGCGATAAAACTGTCTTAGTTGTTATAGTGTTTTTTGTAGACCGCTTTGATCTTCTTTCAATTTATGCACTTACAATATTGTACACCTTTGCTTTTCGGGCACGAACAAGAAACGAAAAAAGGTGTCGTTACTGCAGCATGTTCAGCGTTATCTAAATAATCACGTCTCCCTTCGTCGTTTGCTAAATAAGAGTGACAAAATCTTTATTATTTTTGTGACATTGTGGTCGCGGGTACGGCGACACAATAGTGACCGCCATAGGGTAAAATATCGACTGGACTGGACTATTTTTTGGACGATTTTTTGGACTATTTTTTGGACCATTTCTTGGACCATTTTTTGGACCATTTTATAAGGGAAGGGGCACACCTTTAGTACTCGGGAAGGGATGGGTGCAGTCGACAAGTACTGAGGGAGGGGTGGGGGAGGACTGTCATTACTCAAGGAGGGGTGGTAGGTTCTTGTAATTGTAAACACTACTGGTTAATGGAGCTTTAACTCGATCGTAATAATTATTTTAATCGGTTTTTCGACTGACTTCTCCTACATCAACATTTTGCGCTTTGGAACTTTTATTAGGCTTTCTAATACAAAAGAAATAAATTTTGGTAGGCACTTTTTAAAAGATTGGAAATAGAACTATTTTTTTCTTTTTTTAATGGGGTCAGTTAGTCCGAGAGTACATAGAAAACATTGCACATCTGAAAATCATTCATTTAGAATCGATAAAAATATCCTTTTACAGGAGGAGGTAGAGAATTAAATTTACTTTTCAGTTTTAATGTGATCTGCATGAAAAAACATAAAGGTGAAAAATTCACCGTGAAAAGTATTTAATAAATCTTCTGGAGCCTTGATTCAAGGTTGGTATCCTTAACAAAGTTGAGAAATTCATACCTGCTACGAAATATTTGCTGATTAATTTCCTGATCATTGCCAAATTTTTGTCACCAGTTCTGGCCAATTTCTGCCTGAATAACCTGTTCCGGACTATCAGTTTGTAAAAGGAAGCATAATAGTAAACAGCGCTCTTAAAGCAGAGGAGTGAAAAAGCGAGGGAGGTTGGGGTCGAGTCGCTTAATGAACCCGACCCAGGCCTCCCTCTCTTTTTCACTTTTCAGTCCCAATCTTCGCTCCATTTTACCAACTGAATACCTGGAACAGGCCAATGCCTGAAACTCCCTGGTCTCGTTTTAAAGAATTATTTTTGTCTTATCAGCCTTAAATTGAAATAATCTAACGTTATACAGAAAGTGAGCCATAAATTTTGGCCACCTAAATTCATGGAGCCGTCTATTTTCTTCATGCTTCTTAATTACGCAGATTTTTTCATGTCATTCAGTAGTTTGGCTAATATGGCGTACGTCTCTCGTCCATTCTTTCACCGCGATTCAGCGTACTGGATAAGACTTGCTTGCAGGCTCAACACCCTTTGCCTGTTGTAACGGATCATCTGCATTAAAAAAAACAACAACAACAAAAATTAAGATCAGTTAAATAAAAACACTGCTCATTATTACTGGTATTGTTATTTACCTCTTTCTTTGCAGCTTCTTGAAATTGAATTGTATGCTTCCTCTGCTTCTTCATTGGCTTTTTGAAGCTGATAATAGAAAATGCACAAAAACAATTTGGTAATCTTCCATTCTAGCATTCGACATAATTCTTCAGAACCTCAACATGACCTTCAAGTGATAAATGTCTATTGCAAGTATATATATCTTAATGGAGGTTTTGTTGTATAGTATCGCTGTATTTCTACGAGTTGTACCGTATTTTGATGAGCCCGTAGGGTGAGTCAAAATACAAATAACGAGTAAAAATAATCAGCAATAACACACAACAAAACGTTAAATAAGAGATTTATTATCCAACACGCCACATTGTTATCTCATAGACCTTATTCATAAATGGCCGCCGCGCGGGAACGGACTGGTTTCGAATGCATGAAAGCGAGGCTTGGTAGGCCAGAAAATTCTTGGAGAGCACATTTGTGACCGTATAATTTCTCAAATAATATTGTTGAAGTAGTCTAAAGGTTTTGAGGATATTGGCAGGAAAAATATTTCTTAGTCACTAAACGGGATATCCCTGAGTTAAAGAAAGATTTCCGCGTGAAGAGCCTTAGAGATGCCGACAAATTGCTGTGTCCCGCTCTGTACGAAGAAGGACAAGCGGGACAAGGAGACGGGTGAAAAAATTTCTTTTTTCCGTTTTCNAAAAAAAAATCATACACCAGTTTCCAAAATAAGAAAATTGGCCGCAAGCGTCCAAAATCAGAACTCGGCCGCTACATTACTTGCCTTGGAAGGTATGTTAATTTATATCATTCGTCATGATCGCCATTCTCGTTCCTTCTAGTACATTGTTACCTCCTTGATTTTTAGCCTCATGCACCAGCAAACTACAATCGTCCAAAAATCTTTGGAACACCACATCATTTTCAAATAAAGACAACAAAACTATCATATTTCCACTACTCATTGTTGTAAACATAACATTTCTTAGTATGCGACTCTGTAAATTATCAACATCACGAGCAGGACAATTGCAGGATAGTCTGTTCATATCTAGTAAAAAAAAAATAGAGTGCTTCTCAATTTGGCAAGTTTGATGGCTCCTGGGCGACTTTAGCACCGAGGTCTAAGGCTAGAGGTCTAGTTCAAGCCCCACGGCAGACTAACACTCAGGATCTTGATATAACTCAGGACCATGAGCTACTTTTGCTATGACATCTGCAAAGGGTTAGACATTCTAGTCTTCTAAGAGAAGGACAATTAACACAAAAGGCCCCGTCTGCTGCATCTTCTCTGTATAAAAGAGCAGGTGCGCGTTTAAGTAGCTCATGACTTTTCGCAAAGTGTAGGGAATGTAGCTCCCGATGTTGTGGTGTCGCCTTGTTACTGTTTAAAACAAGCTTCCATTTAAACCATTTATGTTCCTCTCGGGTTTATCCATAACTCGCGATCTATGATTTACGCTGCCTACATTTTCGGGCCATCGAATCTCTGCCCAAGACGTTCTTATCAGTTTAAATTCAGGTAGCCCTTGTCTCAAAACACTAGCCATTAATTATCCATTCAAAGTGCTTTGAAAAATGTTTCTGCTTCTTACCAAAGTTTGCACAACAATTCATCGAAACACGATATGTTAATCATTCAGACACTGATTCAAATGTTAATTTGTATTCTGCTTCATGAAAACTGCCTCATGGCACCGATGGCATGTACCTTACCAATGATGGTAAAGCTATTGTTGTAGGGATGACGGCTAATTTTGTGCCGGACATGTAGGTGGGATAAACAATTACCAAAATTTGAACTACCGACTATTCTCTCTTAAGAACTTACTCATCGTTAAGGGGGTATAAGAATTAAATATCACGTTTAATTTTTAACCTTAGACTTGACCGCATGAAATAAACAATTGTATTCTGCATAATATATCTATGGGCCCCCCCTTAGGGTCACTTTGATAGTTTCATACGGCCAAGTAGACTTGAGGTAAATCCGAGCGCTGTGATTAGTTTTTACGCGGTTGGGATTTTTCCATACGGACCGTTTTCGCGGAAACGGTCGTAGGCCGTGTGTTCTGACGTATTATTATGTAATCGCGTGCACACATGCGCCGTTCAGTGAGTTACCACGTGGTTTTTTCTACTGGCTTTTCCTCCATGTTTGTTTTAAACTTTTACTGTCGTTTTCCTTAAATAAACGATCAATTTTTTTTCAAATTGCAATCCGCCTGAACACCGTGTATTTTTGTTCTCGAAAATCGGCAAATTTTGGTCAGACTGCCCTCTAATAAATCATTTCTTATTAACCTCACTTGCTCCAACTGTCTTGGGGCATATTGGCCCTCATTGGGTTTGGATGGACAGAACGCTGCAGGGTCTGTACTGCCACGACCTATAAGTGTGATGTAGAGTTGCAAATTCATGATAAAATATGCTTTATTCTTTGTGTGTGTTGTGCGTCTTTGCTCTATCCATTCTTACCCACACTTTCACCTCCTTTTCACCTCTACAATGTTGCACTTTGTTTTCTATATTATTATTATTATTTTTTTAACAACATTGGTGACTGGTGGAAGGTGGGTGTTGCAAGAAATTGTAGTTCTAAATGCTTCCTTGACAGTGGCTCCATGAATTTTGTATGTCAATCAATTGTTACATCTTGTAGACCCTTCATTACCCTTTAATTAAACTTCCAAGATCTGACTGTTAATTCTCCCCTTTAGCTGCTATACTCATTCCCTTGTAAATTAGTTTCAAGATTTTGATGTTCTAAAGATCAAGATGACAACCTCTACCTGATAACTTTTAGTATTCTCATTACCTGTTTGCTGGATAATGTTTGGAAGTTATAGGGAGAAGCTATATGTTAGTCACTTCTTAGAGTTCAAGAATTAAAAGGGAGCCCAAACTAACATGTCTTTTTCCAGTATAAAAACTTCAAGACACTTTTCAATTATAAGATAAACACCCAAATTGTGGAGTTTAAAATAGGCTTCATTTTGCCATGGTATGACTGTTGATTAACACGAGGGCAACATACCCCATGTTCACAGATATCTCTGCCAAACACCTGCACGAATATCTTTGGTAACTGGTATTATTTGAGACACTCACATTTTCCTCTTTCAGAAACTTTTGCAAATTTTCATCTTTTCAAAATGCCGGGTGGGCCATAACAAGTTGAAGATATCTGAATGACACCAAAAAAAAATATAGTTACATATCTTTTAAAATATAACTACATATTATATCATTTTTATATGTGGCTAACCATATACAATGTATACATGTGAATCAACATTGTTTGTTAGAAAGTAAATTCCATGTTAAGAGAAAAAATTATTATTAATGATGACTCCTTTCTCTTCTTCACATTCATTGAGGGAAAAATAGCAAAGATAGATCAACTTTGCTTGATTCTGGGCACCGTTAATTCTGTACATCCTAAAGTCATTATGTATATTCTCCATACTCATTTCGTTATGTTTCCTGTGGTTCTGGTAAAGAGAGTTTGTTTCACGATCAGGAGCTTTCTCAATTTATGATCATTTGCCTCATTCTCATAACCTTTTAGTGCGATTCAGCGAAGGCAAAGTAGAGAGACACTCTTATAGAAAGTAAAGCAGTTAAATTGAGGTCAGGATACCATTTCCTTAAGGATAACCTGGGGTAAATTTCTATAAAATAAAAGATAATTAAACGATGTGAATTTACCATGTTGGTTTAAATGGTGAATTTTGCGATATCACCTAAATAGAGTGAATGGCAATCGAGAATGAAGGGGAAAATATGGATAGGGCACGTGTGCTGGCCTTAGTCTACACAGCAGGCGTAATTAGGGGAAGCAAATACTCTGATCATGTGTTATCTTAGCGAAAAATATCCGCCATCATTGATTCTAATGGCAGCAGAAAGCTGGGGGAAAGAAAGAGTTTTTTACCAAAGAGTACGAAGGGGGCTAGTGACGGTTAAAAATAAGGAAAAGGGCCTGGGTGGAAGGGTGAGTCTTCTCCCCTTCCTCACAACCTACCGCCACCGTCCACTTTGACTCCAAAGCAGCATGGTAGATGAACTACACACTACGGTGGCCTTGGCAAGGCAATTGCAAGCGCACTGGTTGCCGGTTGGGCAGCGTAAGTGGATCCTTTAAGCGAAAGACTTGAGAGCCTATTGCAAGAGCTAGTCCCCATACCAGCAAAACTGGACATGCTTGAGCTATAGTGGGGTATACTGGCCCTTGGTGAGTCTGGAAGGACTGAGCGCACCGGACTGCCACTACCTCGGACCAATATTCCCCAGTATTGCCCTTGTACTCGGTTAGTAAGAAGTTAGTTTTCTGTACATATATCCCCGAGTTCACTCTAGAGTCACTCTCATCTAGCTTTACAGCATTTATTCAGTGATAGTTTCTAATACGG